GTGATTTTTTCCCCTTATTCCTAATTGTTACTACAGGAACAGCTAGGCTTATTAGTATTTAAATTGGACTTAATTTTATGTATTATAGAAACTGCAATATACCTGGTATTTATCATACATCATCTGGATTTGCATGAGAAAGCCTGAACCTATATAACCAAATAAATCCCAACGAATACACAGACATGTCAGATGTTAAATTTGGACACGTCTGACCCACACCATACTAAAACTAATGCTTTACCTTTGCATTTGCAAGTAAATGCTTGTACCAGAAACATTGTGCTGCAACTGGTTACAGAAAAGAATATCCTAAGCCACATAATAACAAGAACCTTTGCACTCACTGAAATTTAATTGAAGTCCTAGTTTTAGAACACCCCCCTGTATTTACTGCATGAAGATGGTCTTCTGGAAGGCACTCACCTGAAGAGTTTAAAACCACATTCTGTATTATTAGGTGCAAGGTAGAACCATGCCTAACCTTTGTTAAGTAATGTAAAGTATCAGTCCTTTATTTTGGACTACTCTGGTTTTGGTAGCTAAGCACAAGATTTTCAGGAGCAATTTGTGACCTTGAAAGTCCAATTCAGATCCAGCAAAACTGGTTGTGTGAAATTTTCTTTCCCTGAAAAAGATTGGTTTTAGGATTTAAATGCCAGAAGATGAAGGTAGCCGAAATCAGTTATTGACTGTCAGGTTCCTCGGGTTCCAGACTCAAGACACCTTAGAGTTGTCAGGGATTTTTGAGACCTGAGTCCACAGCAATTTGAAAAAAAAACTAGTGGAAGTTGTGAACAGTCAGCAACTGTGAAAGTCAGAATTGATCTGTAAGTAAAGCTGTCGTGGTTTAAACCCAGTCAGGTAATTCGTTCGCTCACTTCCCCCCCCCTTTCTTGCCCTCCCCCTGCTCTCGGAGGGATGGAGAGGAGAATCGGAAAGAATGCAACTCCCATGGGTTGAGATAAGAACAGTTTAGTAACTAAGGTATAACACAAATCACTACTGGTACCACCAACGATAATAATGATAAAGGAAATAACAAGGGAAGAGAATACAACACCTCAGCACCAGCTGACCGATAACTCGGCCCCCAAGCCCGACCAAGCTCCGACCGATACCTCCTCCAACCCTGCAGTCTCCCAGCCCTTCCGGGTAACTCCCAGTTACATCCTGGGCATGACGTGCTGTGGTATGGAATACCTCTTTGGTCAGTTTGGGTCAGGTGTCCTGTCTCTGCTTCCTCCCGGCTTCTCCTCCTCCCTGGCAGAGCATGAGGCTCACAAAGTCCTTGGCCAAACCAAAACATCCTTGTTATCAGCTCTGTTCCCGAGCTGAAAGTCAAAACACTGCACTGCACTGCACCAGCTACCAAGAAGGAGAAAAAATGACTGCTACTGCTGAACCCAGGACAAAAGCACAAACAGAAAAGTAAACTGAAGAAACTATTGCAGCCATCATTTGGAACAATTGACCTTAGCTTGGCGTTCAACTTGTGCTTTGCATGCACGTTAACCACAAAAAATCCCCAAAGACCCAAATAAGAATAACAGAAGAGTAGAACAGAAATAGAACAGTAGAATAAAGAGAAAAACAAAAAGATAAATAAGATACTTGTTAAGAGAGAAATCTCATTAACAGCGAGCTGCTCCGAACATTTCTGTCTCTCTCCATCTGAGAGCTGTCACTTCAGGAAAGATTCTGAACATGGAAAAGAAATTGCAATGCCCCTCTCCTGTTTTTTCCCTCTAGAGTCACACAATTAAGAGTTTCAACACAGGCTCCTTCAAATCTCCCTGAAGTTTCTTCAAACTGAAGAGGAATTTCTTGTTTGAATGTGCCAATTTATTTCAGTCTGAGGTACAGGACAGTCAATGTGCAGAAGTGGTGGCCCTCAAATTCATTAAGGGAAACAGAACTGCAACTCCAAACTGATATGCTGGCTTAGGGTACAGTCATCTGAACCCATGGTGTTTCTTCTTCAGAAAATGAACAAACCATTTGTTTGTATTTTGCAGTTTGGTTATTCAGATAGAAACAATGATGAAAAACTGTATGTTCTCAAACCAGGTTTTATGATATGTAAGAAACTTTAATTGTTATATGTTTTCCTGCATTTCCTCTTAAGAATTCAATACAGACAATTCCCTACAGTGTTCAATTAAATTATTCTTCACCTCAGAATCTGCTTGTTTGTGTTTTACTACAAATAATTCTGACTGTTTTTTAAAAAAGTAATTCACATCTGAAGATTTATTCTCTTCTCTACTACTGCTACATAAGAAAGAAAAATGAGGGTTGCATTTTCAAACATGGAGAGTTTGAACTTTGATGACCAAGTGACTGTCCTAGCTCTTATTGAAGGTATTTGGACAATAGCAACTGATATAAAACTGGCTGTTGGATTCCGAACTTGGCTCTAATAGCTTTGTTTTGCACACTTACCTTCCAAGCACATTTTAGGGTCCTGGGAAGCCAACACTCATAAAGGAAAGTTCCTAAGTTTGTAATGACTGCTGTTACGTCAGAATTTATTCCTAAAGCTCTTTTTAACTTCATTTAGGCACTTATTTTTGGGTGAAAAGGTCACATTAAAGGAGTACTTTTATCTTCTTTTCACTACCTGTACTGTTCTTTATTGTTCTGGCTCGCCAAAACTTGGAGGTGAGTTGAAGTCTTTATAAAATGTTCTGATTCTTATCCCTGTATTTTTGTTAAGACCAATATCTTACTGTTGAGCTCCAGTGAAAATTAAAATAAAAAAGATAAAAACAAACGTTGAGTTGAGAGCCCTTTAGTGCATTCTGCATAATTGTTAAACATTTGGAGAGTTAAGTCTTCCTGTTAGGAATGCATTATCATTTAATAAATAAAGATGGAGTACTTTTTTTTTTAATTTTGAAGAACCTTGAGCCATAAAAGTGCATTGTGAAACAGATATGTAATTACAGTACATCCACTAGCAAAGTCACTACACATTTGATTTCTTGTTCATAATTGTTCATCTGAAATACAGTGAAGTTCTGGCATGCAAAGTGCTTTCCATTTAAAGTGTTTGACTTTTTAGTGAGATAATATCTAAGACAGAGTATGCACATTTTTTTTGTTGCCATGGTTACAAGAATGTTGAATTTATGAGCAAAACAACAGAGTTTGGAATCCTGAAATCAAAACGAAGTTAGAAATTGTTTCAGTTAGATAACATAACTTAAGCTCAGTATACAGGAATGGACAATGTATAATAACAAAACATACAGCAGTATAAGTGTTGCTATGGGTGACTTATTTTTTTATATTGTCTTCTGGTAAGAAAATGACAGGATCACCAAGTGAAGAAAAGCCTGTATTCAAGTAAAATCAAAGCATGGTAAAGATAATTCACCTGATTTGTGTTTTGTAAATAGGATTAATATTCTGCCAATATAAGCTGCTTCTTTGTTTGCAATAGTCTAAAAGAAGCCTATTTTAACTATCTTTCTTATTAGATATTGCTAGAATTCATCTAAGATTATCTGGATGTAATGTTTGCCTTGAAAAGGGGATGCATGGAAGTTCCTGTGATCTGTAGCTACAGCCACACCGGAAACACCTACGTGTGGAACAAAGAAATGTCTTTTCTGAGTTGCTTTCATTTTCTGTTTTCAGGGACTGAATTTGCATGCTTAGCTTGCCAGATGAAGAATAGTTTGCATGATATCAAATGCCAGGAAGACATCCCCCAGCCACTTCCCACTGTTCTTTGAAAATAGATGGGCAACAAATTTCTGTGTCTTTTAACACAGTCAGTTTTTCCTTTGCTAATTATGGTTCTAAAAATCTAACCTGTGCTTTCTTTTGAAAGGACAGATGACCTCGTGGTGAATGTTCCATGTTAAGACTGTAAGGACGTCATGCTTTCTTAGGTTGCCTATGACAATGACAAACTGCTTGGCGTTACTTTGCTGCAGGTCTGAGGGACCTTTGTTGGTTACCCTGCCTTTGACACTCATCACACCTGGATGTGTACAAAGTGTAATTTCTCACAACCATATTTCTCTAATTTTTTAGTACCCTAAACAGAATTGAGATTCGCTTTGAGAAAAAGACTATGACATTTAGTGGTCTATGTTTTTAAGTATCTAGTGCAGTCAATTGACATTGGATGCATGTAGTCAGAGGTGTCCAGAAAGCGTTTAAGCTCACCAGACATGAGAGCAGAACTCAGCTGTCCAATGAAGGATACTGTTGCCATTTAAGACATCCTAAAGAACCAAAAGACATCTCCAGGATGCTTAGCAAATCTGGCAAAGTGTAGGCCCAGCCTCAGATGAGGTGCCTGGCATTCCCACATTTTTTTTAATAGAGATTTTCATAAGTTTGATCTGGAACTGATTTTGCATTTCAAACAAGCCTACAGTTACCTGCAAAGTCACTTAACTCCTAGTATATGGTTACCTCAATAAGGGAAGGATAATACTCATATGCTGCACAATGTTTTATGTTACAAAACTAGATGATTCGCATTTACTGTTTAGTTACTCAAAGTATGTCTATTTTTCCTTTGAGCAGGCTGGAGTGGTTCACCAGACACAGAGAAGAATGCAAAATATAACACACGAGTATGAGTCAAAAGCTGCAGTAGCATGCTGAAAACTGTTGATTTATCAAATATATCTGTGTTTTAAAGAAAACTATGTTTTAATACTGTATGTGCATGATTGGTAACCTCATCTGTTCTGCCTCTGTGAACAGTAGAGTTTTATTTACTTGGTGCAGAACAGAACACTGAAGACATTTGTGTCACCTTAATGATTTTGGTTACATCAGCCACCTGAAATACAGACTCTACCTGCATTACCTCAGTCTTTCATTATCAGTTAATGTAAATGAAAGAAAAAAAATCCATGAATTGATGGAACTTAGAAAAAAAATCATGGAAAACCAAAATAAATGTGTAGCTGTCCAGAGTATTTTTTATACATGTAAAAATAAAGTTACATTTTAGTACTTTGGAAAAGATTTTTAAAACGCTTCTTAATCAAAATGGAAATTTATTAAGAGCATTTGATGTATATGCCCACTGGTAAATATATTACAGTTGCTCTGCTTCCATGTTCATATAGTTGTTTATTCAGCTCTTCAAGAACTCCTGAGTTTAAAATAAATCCATTTGTAACTGTGGCAAATTACAATTCTTTCTCAAATTCTGTTTACTGAATTATGACATTATCAGAAGTCCACACACTAGGTAGAAAGTCTTACTTAAGGTGACTGGAGTGTTGGAAGGGAAGGTTACAGGCTTTTTAGAAAAGACAGGCCTGGAAGGTGGGGAGGAGGGTTGCTATTTATGTTAGGGATAGACTGGAGAGTGTGGAACTCTGGGGACAGGTGAGCAGTTAACAGAGAGTTTGTGGGTCAGGGTTAATGGGAAAACAGTGATGGGAGACATTACCATGGGGATCTGTTACAGACCGCCTGATCAAGGAGAACCTGCAGATGAAGCACTCCACAGACAGATAGGAAAAGCCTCAAGCTCACAAGCCCTTGTTCTCATGGGTGACTTCAAAAACCCTGACGTCTGCTGGAATGATGGTACGGCCCAGCACAAGCAATCCAGAAGGTTCCTGGATCGTGTGGAAGACAACTTCCTTCTGCAAGTAATAGAGGAGCCAACAAGGAGAGGTGCCATGCTTGTCCTTGTGCTCACCAACAAGGAAGGGCTCGTTGGAAATGTGACGCTCCAGGGCAGCCTTGGATGCAGCAATCATGAGATGGTCGAATTTGAAATCCTCAGAACAGTGAGAAGAGCGTGCAGCAAGCTCACTGCCCTGGACTTCAAAAGAGCAGACTTTGGTCTCTTCAGGAACCTGCTTAGGAAGGTTCCATGGGATATAGCCCTAGAGGGCAGGGGGGCCCAAGACTGTTGGTTGATATTCAAGGATCACCTGCTACAAGCTCAGGAGTGTTGCATCCCAACCAGAAGGAAGTGCAGCAGGAGGGCCAGGAGACCTCCTTGGATGGATAAGGAGCTGCTGAGGAAAATTCAAATGAAAAAAGAGGTTTATAAAAAGTGGAAGCAAGGACAGGAGGCCTGGGAAGAGTACAGGGATGTTGTCTGGGAAGCTAGGGACCAGGTTAGGAAAGCTAAGGCCCAGTTAGAATTAAACTTAGCTAGAGGTATTAAAGATAACAGGAAGGGGTTCTACAGGTATGTAGAGAATAAAAAAACAGACTAAGGAGAATGTAGGCCCCCTCAGGAAGCACTCAGGAGAACTGGCTACACAGGATTTGGAGAAGGCTGAGGTTCTGAATGACTTCTTTGCCTCGGTCTTCACTGCCAAAGGCTCTGACCGAACCACCCAAATCTTGGAAGGCAGATGCAGGGACTGTGAGAATGAAGACCTTGTGCCCACTGTAGGAGAGGAACTGGTTCGAGACCACCTTAAAAATCTGAACGTGCACAAGTCCATGGGTCCTGATGAGATCCATCCACGGGTCCTGAGGGAGCTGGCAAATGAAGTAGCTAAGCCACTGGCCATCATATTTGAGAAATCATGGCAGTCAGGTGAAGTTCCTGACGACTGCAAAAAGGGAAATATAATCCCCATTTTTCAAGAAGGGGAAATAGGATGACCCGGGGAATTACAGACCAGTCAGTCTCACCTCTGTGCCTGGCAAAATCTTGGAGCAGATTCTCCTGGATGGCATGCTAAGGCACATGAAAATCAACAAGATGCTTGGTGACAGCCAGCATGGCTTCACTAAGGGGAAATCCTGCCTGACCAATTTGGTGGCCTTCTATGATGGGGTTACAGAACTGATGGACAGGGGTAGAGCAGTTGATGTCATCTACCTGGACTTGTGTAAAGCGTTCGACACTGTCCCACATGACATACTTGTCTCTAAATTGGAGAGACATCAATTTGATGGATGGACCACTCGGTGGATAAAGAACTGGCTGGATGGCCGCACACAGAGATTTGTGGTCAATGTCTCAATGTCTGGCTGGAGACCAGTAACGAGTGGCATCCCTCAGGGATCGGTGTTGGGATTGGTCTTGTTTAACATCTTTGTCGGTGACATGGACAGTGGGATTGAGTGCACCCTTAGCAAGTTTGCCAATGACACCAAGCTGTGTGGTTCGGTTGATACGCTGGAGGGAAGGAATGCCATCCAGAGGGACCTTGACACACTTGTGAGGTGGGCTGATGAAGTTTAATCATGCCAAGTGCAAGGTCCTACACCTGGGTCGGAGCAATCCCAAGTACAGCTACAGGTTGGGCAAAGAAGAAATTCAGAGCAGCCCTGAGGAGAAGGACCTGGGGGTGTTGGTCAATGAGAAAATGAACATGAGCAGGCAGGGTGTGCTCGCAGCCCAGAAATCCAACCGTATCCTGGCCTGCATCAAAAGGAGTGTGACCAGCAGGCCGAAGCAGGTGATCCTGCCCCTCTACTCTGCTTTCTTGAGACCTCACGTGGAGTATTGTGTGCAGTTCTGGTGTCCTCAACATAAAAAGGACATGGAACTGTTGGAACAAGTCCAGATGAGGGCCACGAGGATGATCAGGGGACTGGAGCGCCTCCCGTATGAAGACAGGCTGAGAATGTTGGGGCTGTTCAGCCTGGAGAAGAGAAGGGGGCTTATAAGGATGGTGGGGAGGGACTCCTCATTAGGGACTGTAGTGATAGGACAGTGGTAACAGGTTAAAACTTAAACAGGGGAAGTTTAGACTGGATATAAGGAGGAAATTCTTTCCTGTTAGGGTGGTGAGGCACTGGAATGGGTTGCCCAGGGAGGTTGCGTATGCTCCATCCCTGGCTGTGTTCAGGACCAGGTTGGACGAGGCCATGGGTGATATGGTTTAGTGTGAGGTGTCCCTGCTCATGTCAGGGGGTTGGAACTAGATGATCTTAAGGTCTTTTCCAACCCTAAATATTCTATGATTCTATGATGGGAAGCAGTGAACAAATGTAAGAGTTACTGTTATTTAAATTTTCATGTTGCTTGAATAACTGGAAATGTTTTGCCTGATCATGATTTTATGTAAGGAAAGTCATTGTAATACCAGTGAATTCCACATTCAAATAGATACATTATTATCTTCTTTTGACTGTCAATTGAGGAAGCATTTCTTTGAGGTCTGTCACTAAAAATAGCCAAAGCAGAGCATATCAGACACAGAACTCTAATTTGGTTCGGAACAAACAAACAAATAAATAAATGTTCAGAATAAATTGAACAGTTTTCATAGTGCAATGCCTATGCAATGGAAATATCTAAATGTGTCTTTGGTGACAATATATGTAATTATCAGTCTTGACAATGGATCAAGTTTCACAGTTCTTGAAAGCTATCAATACCAAATGAGCCCTCCTTTTATCTGTTCATGCATGCTTAGCAAAGGAAGGCTTACAAGGATTGAAGAGAAGACTGTAGGTACCTCATTAGTGCTGGTTCTTGCAGGGCACTTGCTGCCATATGACAAAGAAAGGTTAGATCATTGCAGCTGCCTGCTTTATCCTATAAAAATGAAAATTGTGAAACAAAGAAATAAGACATCAGTGAAACTATATTCTGGGAATTATTTACCCTACTCATGTTTAGACAGGAAAATTATTCATCTCCTCTCCTTAACCCATATGGGGCAGTCCCAGCTTTCAGCTGCTGTTGTAGAAGGACACATCTCGTACCATAACTAGCAACATTTTGCATCTGGTACCTCTAGCTAGGCAGTCCTGAGAAGGTTAGGAATCAGCCTAGTCTAAGGTAATTTAGTCATATATTAGGCTTTTGGTCAGCTGAATCATTTCCTAAAATCCATCAGTGGTACAGTTATGGTTTTCTTTGGCAAAGAGTTTAGACACCTATAAGCTCTTAAACACAGCTATATATAGGTATCAACTAAGTCTTATCTCTAAATTTATTTTAGACAAATCCCATTGCTAAGGATAAAACCCCTTCATTATAAAGGCTGAACTCAGCCTTTCTGCTGCTTGTTAAGCCCTATAATGGGGCTGTTCTAGGAAGCCTAGGGGCAGAGTAGTCTGGTTATAAAAAGAGAATTGATCCTGAACATAATTTTTAGATTACATAGGAGTCATGCCCTTTGTGACGGATTTTGGTATGACCCAGTTAGACATTGAAACTAAATGTTTCTCAGTAGGTATCTATTTGACTTCTTAAATTTACATTTAAGAAGGTACAGCAAACAAAGCATTAACAAGCCCAGTGGAAAGCACACACTTGTTAGTTTGATTTTTAAAGGTTTTTTTTTAGTTGTTTGGGTTTTTTTTTTGTACTAAGGAAGCATTGACCTCTGGGAGAGACTCATGAATTTCCAGGAAATATTCCACAGCTAATGCCAACTGCCACTTACCAGAATAAAACTCCCTTGTTTTTAGAATTTTTTTTAAAACTATGAAGTCTCTTCTTGGAAAAGGAAGCTGTGTAGAATAGATGGATAATCTGTAAATCAGTTGAAACTCTCATTATTACTAATTGGAGCTGTTTGCACAATTGCTGCTGACAATAAGAATCCAATTTTTACAACCATGATGACTGAGGACCACTAGGAAAAAATGGGAACCATCCTCCCACAGAGGGGAAAAGCATCTTTACTGAAAGAGTGAACAACCTGGTAAACACAGCTTTAAACTACTAATGACAGAGTAAAAATGTGATGACCCAAAGTCAATTTAGGAAGTAGCGGAGCAGGTTAGCAAGCAAAGAACATAGGATGATACAGACAGAAGAGAACATGAAAACCATAAAGCAGGGCTGAAAGAACCAGCCCTGGGAAGCTGATGGAATAATTAATCCTGAAAATATTCAAAACATACAAAGCACAAATGAGAAGGTGACTGGGAGTAGTGTGCATGGATTTACAAAGGTGAAACCATGCTTGACCAGACTGATCACCTCCTACAATGAGATGACAGTTGCTGGATTAGGGGAGAGAAGTAGATTGTTTATCTCAACTTTAGTAAGGCTTTCAAGATTGTCTCTTTCACAGACAGAGGAAGTACAGATTAGTGCACTATCAGCAATTTTGCAGATGATACAAAACTGGGAGGTGTAGTTGATGCATCATACAATTTCACTGTCATGTGGAGGTGGACCTGGGCAGGAAAAACCCCATGTACATGTAAAAACTTTGATCAATTGTTGAAAGCAGGTCCCCAGAGAAAGACCTGATGGTCCTGGTAGAAAAGAAGCTAAATTATCATTATCAAGTTAGGATAGGCGATCCTTTCCTTTTGCTCATAACCAGTAAGACACACCTGTCTGGATCTAGTGAGCCTCACTAGGGTCTACATAAACAGTGTAAGTGTTTAACTGAAAGGTTCCTAACTTTTAGGTGGGTATCTTTTAGCATCAGTAAAGTTAAGTGTGGTGAATCTAATCATGAGCACAGCAGGAGATAAGTTATGGTAACATTAAGCTGAATGTTCATTGCTATAATCACTAATAAGATTTATTCTTCTTATTCACGTTCATTATACAATAAAAATGCTTATGTCCAGGATAAAGACGCCAATAAAGATCCATAAAAATTGTTCTATCTGCAATCATAGGTCTATTTGTTTTGATGACAGTTGTGTTCTTTGAAAGATTATATTGACATAGTTTATTTTCTTTACATTGAAAAGAGGTTTAAACAAAAATACTTGAAGTGGGATTCATCATAGAATCATAGAATGGTTAAAGTTGGAAGGGACCTTAAAGATCATCTAGTTTCAACTCCCTGCCATGGGCAGGGACACCTTCCACTAGACCAGGTTGCTCAAAGCCCCATCCAACCTGGCCTTGAACACTGCCAGGGATGGGACAGCCACAACTTCTCTGGGCAACCTGTTCCTGTGCCTCATCACCTTCACAGGGAAGAACTTCTGCCTAATGTCTGATCTAAATCTACCATCTTTCATCTACTCTCAGTTAGATATCAGAAAATTAGTTTTAAGTTCAGGTTTTGAAGTCTGATTTAGTCACATTGTCGTTCATTTACAGTTACAGGAGAGAAGAGGTACCTTCAGAATGCAGTTCATCTCACCATTGCATATGTCTAGGACAGCTGAGATGAATCATTCTCTGAAGCTCTCAGCTCTTTCCACTGATGACAGAAACAGCTAAGGACTTAGGGTGGATGTATTTAAGTATCTTAAGCAAGATGAATCTCAGTCTTCCAGCATAATTTCTGTTGTGTTACCACATATCCCATTACCCAAAGTCAGCTTTGCCATCCCTAAAGCTAACGTAAAGGGTCTTCACTTAAACAGGAGCTGGGGGCTTGCGATTTCTAATGAGCAGGTTAATAGCCTGGATGGAGGTGAAGAAAATCCTTTTGTGACTGAACAGCTTAGGTCTACAACTTGTTTCTTTAATTGGAAGTTCACTAACTTCACCACATCCTTTAGTTACAGAACAGGAGACTATTGTTATGTAGTTACTCTGTTTATAACAGAAATCAAACGACATTAAATCAGTGTAGAATACTGCTCACCTGGAATTTCACAGAAGTTTTCAAAATGGTTAAATACTCTACCAAGGCTTTATTTAAAACCGAACAGCCTCATGTCAGACAGTGGCAGAGATCTGAATGTAGACCTGTGGTCCTGCTATGGTCCTGGAAAATTGGTTACAAATGCCTATGCCCATTCCTGTAGCTCTTTCCTACTACTAAGTACTGTAGTATTTCTATTATCTATAACAGTTAAGGTAGTGTTTTATAATAAAGAAATAACATGAAAATATTTGCAATATTTTTGCAAACATCTCTACCTTAATTTCAATGAAAACTCCATTCATAAACTGAATTCAAGAGTTTGATGCATGGGAAAAAAAGAAAGACCTGGTCTTTCAGTAACACAGACTGTAGGAACCTTCTGAGATCAACAGTTTGAATTTGTTTTCACAAAAATTACATGTTAAAGGTAATTTTCCTTTCTTCTGCCGTTTTGTTGTTTTGTTTTTTTTTTTGGGGGGGGGGGGCGGTGGGGTTTGGTTTTGTTTGTTTGTTTGTTTGTTTTTCAGTTGAAAGAGTTTCTGTTATATCTCTTGCTAGCCAGACCTCAATGTCCCCAGTATAAAGACCTGGGTACATGAATAACTTTCTGGTGATTCTCTCTTCTTACCATAGATATAGCTTAGGAGACTTACTAAAACAGACCTGTCAGCTAAAAATAAGTGAAATAAATACATAATGAGATAGATTTTAACAACGATAAGGACATTTGATATCTATTCTTATCTCATGTGTATGACAAGCCATAAGTTTCACTTTTATTTAAGCAAATAATAGGTCTTTGCTTGTGAAAATTCTTTTTGCTATAGCAGACTTTCTGTGTCAACATCAGAGCTTTGGTTTGGAAACATCACTAGGCAGGTGCTGAGAGAGGAAATACAGTTATTTGTTCCTTCTGATTCAGAAGGCAGAGGGTCAATAGTAGAAGTTATCAGTATTCCCAATATTATCTTCAGAATGGCTCTGCAGAGCTAGAGTTGTGACTGCCTACGCTTGTGGGGCTCTTCTGGACACTGGCTATCTGCACAAGATTGTCTTCCTTGGGCAAGATAAGGCTTCTGAGCATTTTAAAGAAGATCTTCAATTTCTTGGAAAAACTGTTTCATAAAAGTAAATCTAGGTTTCATAAAGCTAGAAAACTAAATCATATGGGAAAACATTGGTTTTCAAACAATCTCAGTAATAATACTATTGTGGAGTTGAAATATCCAAGAAGATTTTTTTAACACAGGTTTTATGAATAATTTTCATAGACAAGATTTCACACCTCTTCTACATACCCTGGAATATTCAGTTTGCAATATGTAACTATAATAAAATAAACAAAACAACCTAACAATCTTCCGTGTCTTTCTTATTGGTAAATGCATCATTATAATACTATGTGCCTTTAAATTTTAGTTTCTCTGGCAACCTGCTAAGGAGGTGAAATAAAATTAGCAGCAAAACATTTTCTTTCTGATGAGGCGAACCTGAGGAAAAAATATTGCTCATTGTAGTGAACTTTTCGCTTCATTTTGGATTTTGGCATCATTATGCTTATTTCCCATATACTTATTTCCACTCTGCTCTTTCCCACAGAGCAGAGTGATTCAC